TTAAGTTCACGAACTCATTCTAGAAAAAGTGCTACATACCTCATTGCTGAATATCACTAAGGTCACCTTTGACGTACTCCCCTTGGGAAGCTATGCAATGATGCCAGTGCCTAGTCCAACCTTCAAAGCAATTTTGGAACTCTTTTTCTGGAATGGCCATCAGAGCTGTCATTGTATTACCCTTGGTGTCCTGAATGTCATCAAAACGTCTTACTTTCAATATTTCCTTTATCTTCAGGTAAAGGAAGAAGTCATTGGGGCCCAGATCAAAAGAGTAGGGAGGGTTCCAATACAGTTATATGTTGACTGGCTAAAAACTCCCTCACAGACAGTGCTATGTGAGCTGGTGCATTGTCGTGATGCAAGAGCCATGAATTGCTGGCAAAAAGTTCAGGTCGTCTAATATTTTCATGCAGCCTTTTCAGCACTTCCAAATAGTAATCCTGGTTAACTGTTTGTCCAGTTGGTACAAATTCATAAAGATTATTCCCTCTGATATCAAAAAAAGTTAGCAACAGCGTTTCAACAAGTTCGCAAACTTATTTTTCAGACCTTGTATGATTTGCTCCCATTCAGTAGGTTGCCTTTTTATTTTGTTGATGGTTTTCTTTGCTGTGCAGTTTTTTAGTTTGATGTGGTGCCACTTATTTATTTTTGCTTTTGTTCCTTTTGCTTTTGGTGTCAGATTAAATAGAGCATCACCAAACAATATCAAGGAGCCTACCACCTGTTTTCTCCCAGGATTTTTATAGCTTCAGGTCTCTAGTCGACTTTGAGTTCATTTTTATGTGTGGTAAAATGGTCCAGTTTTCTTCTTTGGCATGTGGGTGTGCAATTTTCCCAGCGTTATTTATTGAAGAGACTGTTCTTTCCCACACTGTATATTCTTGGCCCCTTTGTCATAAGTTAATGTGTGGATTTATTTCTGGGCTGTCTATTCTGTTCCATTGATCTATGTTTCTGTTTTTATGCCAGTACCACACTATTTTAATTAGTATGGCTTTGTAATATAGTTTGAAATCAGGGAGCGAGACACCTCCAGATTTTTTTTTTCTCTTCTGAAGATTGCTTTGGCTATTCAGGGTCTTTATGGTTTCATACAAATTTGAAGATTATTTGTTTTATTTCTGTGAAAAATGCCATTGAAATTTTGATAAGAATTACATTGAATCTGTAGATTGCTTTGTGTGACAAGGACATTTTGGCAATATCAATTCTTTCAATCCATGAGCACAGACTATGTTTTCATTTATTTTTGTCTTCTTCGATTTCTTTTATTAATGTCTTATAGTTTTCAATATGCAGGTCTTTCACTTCCTTGGTTAAAATTACTCCTAGGTATTTTATTCTTTTTATGCAGTTGTAAATGGGATTATTTTCTTAATTTCTATCTCTAATAGTTCATTATTAGTGTATAGAAATGCAACCGGTTTTTGTGTATTCATGTCCTGCCTGGCAACATGCTATAAACAGCTCTGAGGGTCTCAAGAACACAAGTTGCTCCACCTCATTAAAATCAATAAAGTTAATAAACATGAGGGTCAACCAATGACCCTCATGACACAGTTCTAGATTGATGGGTGGTGTTCTTCCTACCCCAGCCTATAGAAAATCTTAACACTAGCCAACATCTATTTAGGTCTTATCTTGTGCCATACATTGTACCATGAATTTGTCATCTAACAATCCCAGTAACCCTATGACATAGGTAGTTATTTTCCTATTTTATAGAAGAGTGAACTGAAATTTAAAGAGGTTCAGGAATTTACTTGAGGTGATGGAGCTAATAAAAAGCAGAACTGAGACTGGAATTCAAGTCTCTCTTATTTCAGACTTATCTTTCATTGAGGTTTCACAAAGCTGGAGAGATTGCAAAGAAAAAAAAAAAAGACCAAGGGCAATTACTTAAACCTTCTTGCCTTCATATCCCTTATCTGTAAAATGGAGATGTTAATAATTGTACCTATCTCATAGGGTTGTTAAAAGGATTAAATGAGTCAATTAATGTAAATGACTTGGTGCAGTGCCTGGTATATCACATATGCTAACATCAGTAAATGTTAGCTATTACTAAGTAGGGTTCTTTTTTTTAAAGATTTTTATTGGGGAATTGGGGGAAGGGGGACAGACAAGTTGCTGTTGTTTTGTTCTTCAGTCTAGTTGTGGAGGACAGTGCTTCACTGGCCCAAGACAAGTTGCTGTCGTTTTGTTCTTCAGTCTAGTTGTGGAGGACAGTGCTTCACTGGCCCAAGTTGGCACCATCATTACGCTCTTCCCGAGTGAGGCAGATCAGTCGCCGGCTTCTGGACGGCCGCTCACGGCGGCTGCTGGCCACTCACGCTGGCTGCTGGCTACACACGGCAGCCCATGGCAACCCACTGCAGCAGGGGTTGCAGCCTACTCCCTTGCCGGCGACTCACGGCAGCCCAGCTCCAGGTTGAGCTGTTGTTCAGCATCTTAGCTGTAGAGGGCAGTGTCACTGGCCCTCATATGTGGGATCCGAACCAGGGCCCTCTGGCGTCCCAAGCCAGCTCTTAACCAATGCGCCACTCAGCCGGCCCCTAAGTAGGGTTCTTAAGTTATGTTTTAAAATTTATTTAAGGTTTAAACAGAATATTGCACAATGTAGAAAAACTTCATAACTTTAATTAAAAAAATTCTTTTAGAGCAACCACGTTTTAGAAGGTTGTGGGCAATTTTTAATTTCTAGAGGTGAAAATATTATTACTTCATTTTGATAACCTCTCCAAGATGAGCCTGTTCGTTAAACAAATGAAGCTTCCTGAAAAACACTGAGAAACTGTGGTTAACACCTGGTCTGCTTAGAGACAAAAGCATGCAGAGCCTGTGGCTTACAAGGCAGGAGAAAAATGATTGTCCCAAGAATCTTAAGATTTAGATGGAAGTTCTGGTGCCTCACACAAGCTAAAAATCCTAGATCTGAAAAATGAGTCAGGGACTATTATTGTTGCTTTCTATAGACTCTGAAAGCTGTCTTTAGCTGGGGGTGGGGTGAGGAGTGGTTCTCAGGAGATGATTGTGTCAAGCTGTGGGACACACAAGTGGGGCAATCTGCTACTGACAGTTGCTAATGTCTCTCTTGACCTTGAACCGAGAGAAATCAGTGCCCAGAACAATTGCAGTGACTTTGAATAGACATTGATTCCAGATTTTTCCGAGTCTTCAGGTTTGAGGAAACAACCTGCAGAGATAACTAGAGAGAATGAGACCCTTGAACAGACCAACTAGCTAGGTGACAACAGACATGCAGAGAGGTTAAGTGGCCTCTTAAATTTGCTCAGGTAGCCCATGATAAAGGTAGAACCAAAGCTCTGGTTTCCTAACTTCTCACCAAATGCCCTTTCAATTTCCTTCCACGCATTTTAAGAAATTTAGAAATTTGGTTAGAGCTCTAATGGCATCTGTAACTCTTGAGAAATTTTTAATTAGATGCGAATGTTGCAAACCTTGTCAGTGTGCTATTACGCACGTTGTCTGTCGTCTTCTTCAACGGGGATGTGCTCGCGTCTGGGTAGCAGCTACCTGGTAGAGTGTAGCTTCAGAGAAACAAATCAAGAGCTATACTCGGCAATGTCTGCAATATGAAATAGTCCGCGGTCCACTCCTGCTCTCTAGTTCTACCACATCTATTTCTGTGTACCGACAAATGCAGAGGACACCAAAGAAAGCTTCCTACACACTTAGTGAGCCAGCCGATACACAAGGGCGTGGTTTGGAGAACTGTCTCCCTGTAATTAGGGGAGGCAAAGGTGCTTCCAACATTTCCTCCGGAGGGCTAGAAATGAATATCTCCAGTAAAGACTGTCTGTTAATACCCAAACTACTTTCTGATTTATTGTGACAAGTGCTACAGTACCATGTTCAAGGAAGAATTTTGGGATGCATGCCTTGGAAACTTTTTTTTTTTGTTGCCCATCTGTTTTGCTTGTCGCAATTCCTGTTTGTTTAAGATGTACATGTGCCAGAAATGTGGAAAGAATGTGTGTAGCGACAAGTGCTATCGAGCCATTTTCACACTGGACTTATGGGAAGCATGTGCTGCCCATCTGTGAAGTTCTCATTTTATGCAAATTTAGAAAATATATTCTTATGTCATGTTGCCTTAATGCCCAGGGATAGGTTGGAACATACATAAGGAGGAAAGAGACAGGGAGCAAATAACCTCACTCCCAGTGACAAGGTGGCCTTGCTATGACTAAAGGAAAGTCTGAGAGGCATGTTATTTGTCAAAAAGTAGAAAGCCCAAGGGAATTTTCTCTCCAAGAGTGTGGTATGCAATAAAACAGTATGTCTTTAAGAAGACTGATTTTTAATCTATGAATGAGATTGTAAGAACCCCTCTTTTAAGAAGCTTTGAATGGTAGAGAGACAGAGTACATGCTTATCTGTGGGTCTCTCCCATCTTCTGGAACATTCTGTGACGATGGCCTCAGATGAGTTCTGAGTTCTGAAGCAGAACATTTTTTTTTTATTAAAGTTTATTGGGGGGTGACAATGGTTAGTAAAGTTACATAGGTTTCCGGTGTACAATTGTGTGTTCATCACCCAGACTGAAGCAGAACATTTTTAAAGAGGACGTCAGTGTGTAGTCGGGTCCGTGAATGTTTCTGAGAGGTTGCTCTCTCTGGGCCTTTAAGACTATGATCAGAGTCTCGTTCACCTCCATGGACCAGCTTAGCCAATAAGCAGGTTAGACTAAAGTTACCACAAGTAAATGGGGAAAGAAACTGCTCTTCAAGCAAAGCCCTGTTGACTTTATGTGGATTGGAGAAGCTACCTGGAACCGCTTGCCTGTGGGTTGCTCTGAGACTGGGTCAGGCTAAGGGTCCGATGTGTTAAGAGTATTTGCTTCATTACTGTTCCACATTCAGGGTGTGGGGTGGAGACAACTCCTCATGTTTCATGCCAGCATAATTACAACTGATACAAATTTATCTAAGTCTATTCTTAGTCATCAAGACAATAACACAATAAAAAGCTGAATATAAATGACATTTTATATGACTGAGACAGTCAGGATGCTAAGAAACAAAGGTTGCAGAAAAGCAGCTAAAATGGTAACTGGGTTAGTGGCATTCTGGCTACACAGAGCTGGTGCTCTAAGGTCAGAGAAGGACTTAGCAGAAGATGAGGTGAGCACCACAGATGTGCAACCTCTGCAGTCACACAGGGCCCCACGCGCAGACGGGTTCTGAGCTTGGTTTAATGTTCTGCTGTCACTACCTTGACGTTCATAATGATTTTTAAACAGGGTTCCCCACATTTTCATTTTGCACTGGGCTCCACAAATGATGTAGCCGGTCCTGTTGAAGACAAATACAAGACAAAAATTAGCAAACCCAAGCAGAGCTTAAGAAGGAAAGTTGAGATGAATGGTCAACCTGATGAACAGAAGAGCCGAGCGTAACCAAGGGTCTGCTTCCCCCTCACTACGCCATCAGTTCTCTCCACAGCCTCCAAGATGCAGTGGGAGCCTGGAGGTGGCAGCCATGTCCCTCCCTCCTACTGGCCTTTGTGGGCCCAATCCTCACAATCACGGACTCCTCCTGGTCACTCCCAGCTTGGCCCTGGATTTTGCTGGATCCTGAACACCATCCTCTCTGTTAAAAGTTGCCCCACTGACATGATGGTGCTGTTGGGTGGTGGAAAATTCAAGAGTTCTGTATAGGTTAAGTTTTATTCATAAGCTGCTGGCAGTATAATGTAGGTGGATATAAGTACCGGGAACTCAGATAAGTTCAAGGGTCCCATAATCGACTTTCTATATATCTACTTCCTTTGCTACTCAGTGACCCAAATATAGCTTAAAGATTACCCTTCATAAGAAAGCAATAAAATTCTTAGCTAAGGTCCTGTTTTACTTGTCTAGGGAGGGAGAAACAAAAGAGTCACTTTATTCTTCTACTTTTTATATTACGATAAATAGGTCACTTGGTAATAACAGTGAGATGGGGGGCAGCTGGCTTGAGACAGAAGTGAGTGTTACGATGTGAAGGAGCAGCTAGAGACAACCGTACATGGCTGAATGCTTTTAATTACTGTGCCCCGACTCTCGTACTAGCTTGTGGAGTTTGGCTCATAAGGGGCTTGCTGCCTGAGAGCGGATCCACCAGCTCAGTGCCTGGCACACATCAGGAGCTCAATAAGCATCTGTTAAATCAATGGCATGCCCTCAAAAAAGTCTTCCTCCAAATTGAATATAAGGTTAAGTTTCCTAGGGCCACCCAGACCCTAGGAAGCCCTCGTCTTAGTCAGAGGCTTTGCATCCCTAAGGGAAACTTTGTTGCTCCTATTGCTCATAGGACTCATTATTGGTTTGCCTCATGTGCCATGCATGCTGGATTCAGACACTCTCACACACATACACTCACTCACTCACAGAGAGAGACAGAGACAGAATGAAAGAACAATGGTGAAGAGGAAGAAACACTTTTCATTGTTTGTACTTCTCAGTAAGGCTTAGCCCTTAAAGATGTATCTCTCTAGTAAATTGCATGAGACCCTCCACCAACTCCCTCTGCAAGGAGCTAGTCAAGTGTGCCTCTATTAAATATAAAGCAGAAAATGGACAGAAAAGAATGGAATAAATAGTAGGCACTGTAAAACCAAGTTTAGACTCTCAACAGCACAAAATTCTGTTCTACACAACTGTTTATACTACAGAAGCACCACAATTCATTCGCTTAAGCCAATGCCATAGACATTATCCTTGGTTCTTTCATTTCTCAAAATTTAGTTCGTCAGCAAGTCTTATTGGCTTTACTTCTAAAATCTCTCAAATCTCACTTTATCTTCATTCCCATATGCCTCGTCTAAGCTACCATCATTTCTTGCCTGGACTTTTGGGAAAATCCTCCTAATTGATCTCCTTGCATCCACTTCACCCACCACTTAATCCATTTTCTACGCAACAGTCACAGGGATGTAGTCCTCTGTGCCTCAGTTTTCTCCTGTGTAAAATGGAAATAGTAATAGTACTTACCTTGTAAGGTTCTTGTGAGGATTACACAGATAATTAAAGCAAAGCACTTAGCATAGTGCCTGACCCAATCAATTAGTGGTTGTTACCGTAATTAAACCCTTAAACAGCCTCCCACTTTTCTTGTGTCTTTAATCCCCTTATTACATGTAGCCAGAGACATTTTTCTGGAATGTAAATCTGATCTTGTCACTTCAAAATCTTCCCCCTGCCTTCAGGGTAAATTCAAAATTTCTTTACCTGACACACATGGTTCTTTAGATCTCTTCCACACCTACCTCTCTTACCTCGCCTTTTGCCACCGTTTCTTCCACTTGTCCCCATCCCATGCACCTATACACCTGCACCTCTTCACGCCCCAGCCCCAACAAACTTAAGTGCCAGTTTCAAAAAAGCATGATACATTCTCTAGTCTACATCTTTGCAATGGTTTTACATCTGCCTGAAATGCCTTCCTCTCCTCTCTCAGCACACCCCACCGTCCCATCTCCCCACCATACACACCAGTATTCCCTTTCACATGGATAACTCCTACTTAGCATTTAGGACTTCACTAAGTAAATTCCTGGTTACATCCAGCTTTCTCTGAGCTTAACAAGGCTGGGTAGGTTTGTCTTATAACATCCTCTATATACATCTACGGTGGAACTTATAACAGGATGCGGGAATGGAAATCTTAGCTAAGCCAAAGAAAACAGGAACAGAATCCCAAAGGAGATCTAAAACATAAACAAAATTTACAAAGAGGAAATTGAGAAATGGTTACTTGACTGTTCAACCCCCTCGCCTATATCAAAGATCTAAATGAGTTAAGAATTGGAGAAGGGTTGGGGGAACATTCCTTTGTAGAGGGTTATGCTTTAAATTCAACTTTCTCTACCTGAAGGGGAAGGAGGGAGATACAGAAGGAAGGATTGCCAACAGAAGAGCATATCATGAAGAGCATATCATATGCACAAGTTCTAGAATCGAGATTCCAAGGGTCTCATCTTATCACTTGTGTGACTTTGAAAGTCACCAGCGTTTAAAGGACAAAGTTGACTTTGATCATTTCAGTGGCCCTTTCAAGGTCTAACATCCACAATTCTATAGTTCATGAGTAGGTAAAGAGAAATTCCCATCAATAATTACACTAAATCAGGGGATTAGATGAGATAGAACAGTTAATTGATTATTTTCATTTTGGAAGAGAGAGATAGAAGCTTGAGTGTCCTAGAAGACAGAGGCTTTTAGAGCTGACTCTTCAGTTCTGAATATGTTGTAGCCAAATACCAAGTTGAGCCCAGTTCCTTCGCATGGCTTTTCCATCGTGAGTAGCTCTTGTCCTCAAGATGTCTTTTACTGCCAGGAATCCCCCTGTAGTGGGATGAATGGCAGCTCCCAAAATGATATGTCCACATCATAATTCCCAAAACTTGTGAATATGACCTTATTTAGAAAAATGGCTTTGCAGGTGTCATTAAGTTAAGGAACTCAAGATGAGCTCATCCTGGATTATCTGGGAAGGCCCTAAATCCAATGACAAGTGTCCTTATAAAAGATACATGAGAAGAAGAGCAGAAGGTTATGTGAAGACAGAGGCAGAGATTAGAGTTATGCAGCCACAAACCAAAGAACGCTTGAAGTCACCCGAAGACGGGAGAATTCTCCTCTAGAGCCTTTGGAGATAGCATGGCTCTGCCGACACCTTGATTTTGGACTTCTGGCCTTCAGAATTGTGAGAGGATATATTTCTGTTATCTTAAGTCCCCCAGTTTATGGTAATTTATTACAGTAGCCATAGCAAACTAATATACCTCCTGTGATGTTCTCCTGAGCAGACCTTGTATTCTGGAATCATTTCTCACTGTACCTCATCAAAGGTGAGGTGACATTCTCTGGGTGATATTCCTTACAGACCCAGCTGGGTGAATAGCTATGCCATCCAGTCAATCAAGGCTTATAGGCATATCTAAACATTGTGGCTAGCTTTTGCATTTCTCAGGAGACCGTTCTTCCTGAATGAAAATAATGTAACATTTTTATAATACTTTGTATTTCAAAACATTTTCAAGAACATTATCTCATTCCCCCAACATACCCCATTAAATAAACTAGAGATAGTACTACCCCCATTTTGCAGATTAGGAAACTAAGCAACAATAGAGTAAGTGGCTTACCCCAGGACACCCAAACAGTAAAGACACAGATGAGACTGCATCTCAAGTCTTTGGCTCACAGGTTAGTAATGTTCTCATTGTCACAGGACCAGTGGAGAGCTAGCTTGAATACAGTAGCCTATGAATGCTTCTCAAATCATAACGAAGAGGTAACTATCCGTGCAGGTTACTTGCAAAGCTGTCAACGACTAAATAACTAACCCTTGATCAATATTATGACAGTAACTCCCATCTCACTTCGAGGGGAAGTCAAAGTCTTGATCTACACTATCTGGCCCCACTTCTTACCACAGCCTTTCCCCTCTCACCTCAACTCTTTGCAAACCTCCCATTACTCTCTCAGCTATAACCACCCCACCCTGCTGCTCTGATGCTGACTAGACCTGCTCCCACTGGGCTCTTGCTTTTCCTCGGCCTGAAACATTCACCCTCCACTTATCCTTATTGCCAGCTCCCTCACTTCTCTTCTGCTTACGTATCACCTTCCCAGGGAGGTCCACCTCAACCCACTCTAATTCAAATAGAATCTTATCCCCACCCCAACCTCCAATTCTGTTTTACTTTCCTGCTTTATTTTTCTCCAGATCATTATGTAGTCTACTGAACCTTGAAAGATGAGTGAGACTAGAAAAGGTAAAGTTGAAAATGGGTTGGAAAGGACAGTTTTAGCCATGAAAAACATCATGAAGAAAGGAAGGGGGAATAAAAGTCCAGGGCTGACCTGGAACCAACATAAAAAGCCAGCTGTGCACTTGGAAGTTTCTGTGTCACAGGACGTGTGCTGCTCATGGCCACGGCTTTGCTTTGTGCAGGAGGGACAACCAGGTAGAGCTTCTGGGTCCTGCTTTGGCTGCCTCCAAACCAGGACACCAGGGACAGCCCGGAAACAGCAAAACAGCATCTCTGAATGCAGAGTAAATAACGACTGGAGACGTTTTCTTCTTTTTTCTTTACAAGGGAAAAAGAAAATGCATCAGCAGAGTAGACAATCACAGATTAACTACCTAAGATCTTCTGATATAATTAATTAGCACGTTGGTCTCTGGAACTACTGGTGTGATTTGCTGGCCATGGAGGCAACTGTCACTCCTGCCTGTGACAGCTAGTGCAGCTTTGGGGGCTGGTATAGCCACTCACCCACTCCTGAGGACTCACAGCTTGCTCAAAGAGAAGAACATGAAAAATATTTTCAAGACATGGAGTTGGATATTGTAAAGCAAAATCATGTCTTAGTCAAAGACATGTGTGTATGTATGTGTGTGTGTATTGGTATGTTTGTGAAATTCAACATGTTATCCTCGGGACTTTGACGTAGAAGTTTAAGGCTGACAGTTAAATTAAAGTGAAAAATAAATGAGTTTCCGCCACCTCATGATGGTCTGGAAAAAGACCATTAACTGCTGCTTGATCATGTGATTGGGAATAATAAACTGAGTCCTTCCTTCTGTCCCACTGTCCTTCCATTTTACCCTCCGAAGAAACATCCGAGTCACAGTAGAGAAGAAAGGGTACTCTTCTAGAATTTGACAAGTCACGTACATGGGCGAGGCCCAAAGCTCTGCATGTTTTTCTTTCAAGGCAAGTGAGTTTGGACAAGCCCCTAATCTCTCGCAGTCTGTTTCCTCATCTCCAAATACTACTAATCTCACCTACCTCCAAGACTTGTAGTAAGATTCCAACTTGACCATAAATATTTACCATTGCATGATGGACAAGGCAGACTACCTGTGTTCAAATTCCAGCTCCACCTCAAGCTAAGCTTCAAACTTCTGCAAGTTGTTTAAAGCCCCCAGGACAGCTTTCTCATCTGCAAAGTGGGGATAAGAATAGTGCCATCTTCACAGAGTTGTTGTAAGGATTAAAACAATCCACGAAAAGCTGCTTAGAACATGTATAGATCAAACTCTATACATATTATAAATACTGTGAGAATTGTTATAATTGTTGGTTAATGAATTGTGACAATTATGTATAGGCCTTGGTATGCAGAAGGTGCTCAAGAAATAATTGTGCATAAGCTACATTTTGCAATTGGCCACTTCCAGCAAAAAGTGCTTCTCCCTTTTCTTGAGTATTTCAGCCAGAATGAAGTCTATCCACATCGAGTGTCAGCTAGACAGCAACAGATCCGATGCCAGAACAGCCGGTGTACGGGGTGCTGCTCCAGGATTCATGGGTATCAGGAATCTTTATCAGATCGGCAGTTCTAGAAATGAAAGTCCTAGAGAAGCACATCAATTTCCTAAAAGAATGAGGGATTTAAAGGGACTCATGTATAACTCCCAATCTATAGGCAGTTATTTTATTTGAGTCTCCCAACAACTCTACAAATTGGCATTGTTACATTTTTTTTTT